CCCTCTATCTATTTTCTACCTACCATCTATGCTACTTATTTTCTGTACCTTTCTCCCCCCTCTCCTTCTCCCATTGTTCTGTTGCTAAATCCCTTTTCATGTGATCTTTATTTCTATGGTTCTGCTCCTGATCTAGCTGTCCTCTGTTTGCTTTTGTTTTAGATGTGGTGGTTAATAACTGTGAGTTTGCTGTCCTTTCCTGTTCATATTTTTTATCTACTTTTTCTCTTAGGTAAGTCCCTTTAACATGTCATACTATCAGTGACGAAGAACTCTTGAATTTTACCTATCTGAGAGCACTTTATCTGCCCTTCCATTCTAAATTAAAGCTTTGCTGGCTAGAGCAATCTTGAATGTAGGTCTTTATTTCATGATCCCAATACTTCTCTCCAGCCCTTGTCAACTTTTTGAGAAATCAGTTGACAGTCTGATGGGAAGTCCTTTGTAGGCAACTGTCCCCTATCTCTTGCTGCTTCTAGGATTCTCTATTTGAATCTTGGCTAATATAATTATGATGTGCCTTAAATTCTTTCTGTCCACCTTTCTTGAATCTCTGTGGAGAAGTCTATTGCCTTTGCCAGCTTGGGAAGTTCTCCTTTATTATTGTCTTCAAATAAGGTTTCCACGCTGGCTGTTCCTTTCCCTTCTGGTACCCTATAATCATGTTGGAGTGTTTAAAGATGTCCTAGGTTCCAGCCTCTCCTCTTTTTTTTTTAATTTTATTTTTCTATTTTTCTGTCTGTCATTTTTTTCTTCTGGTCCACTCCCTTGATTTGAGTCCCAGTTTCCTTTCCATCACTATTGGTTTCCTGTGCATTTCCCTTCATTTCAATTAGTTTAGCCTTCATTTGTTCCTCTAATTTGTGACTAAAATCAACCAGTTCTGTGAGCATCCTGATCACCAGTGTTTTGAACTGGTGCATCTGATAGTTTGGCTATTTCTTTATTGCTTAGATTTATTGGCTCTGGGGCTCTTGAGTTGTTCTTGAGCTATGTTTTGGATCTGTTGTGCCTGTTACGTATGAAGAGAAGTGCCTTAGATGTTCACTTCCACGGTGGGCCATCCAGGTCACTGGGTTGTGGTGCCTATATGTGGGGGTGGGGTCCAAGAGGGGCAATAGCGGTTCCCCTCTGCTGCTTCCCACCGTGGGCCAACGTGGTCTGTCTCACTGCCTTCTCGCTCCTTCCCTGGTTTATCTGCGCACAAATGTGTGACCGTGGTCAGCCTGCCCAAACCTTGCACTCTCACTGGGTTTACCTGTTGCTACCCCACACCTGGGTCCAGGAATCTTTTCTGCCTGACTCTGCTCCACTGCTGGCTCCGCCCCTTAAGTCTGGCTGAATGGTTTGTTGTTGTCGGACTTCCGTCTAGTTCAATTTTCTGTATTTTGGCTGTGTTTTTTGTTACTAAAACTTTGTTGTTTTTAAACTCTGTTGTGTGAGAAGGCATAATATTTCCAACTATGCCTCCATCTTGGCGGAAGTCGTGAAGGTACATATTTCAACAAAACAACCCCCTTAACATGTAGCTCAACATTATAAACATTGGCAAAAATATACTTTTAAGAGATGCTTTTTGCTTTTTTTGGGATTTTTATTTATCTTTAGAGAGGAAGGGGAAAGAGAGAAATATCAATGTATTGTTGCTTCTTGTGAGTCCCCCTGCTGGGAACTGGCCCGCAACCCAGGTATATGCCCTGACTGGGAATCGAACTCAAGATCATGGTTCGATTGGACTATTTTTTAGCTGATTATCATGTTCTGTTTGAAGCTGATTATCAGCAGCACCTATGTTCTGTCTTTTATTTGAGCACATCTCTCAATCTTTTACAAATCATAACAATGGCATCACTTCACTCATCTTCACCTGTGCAGCTACCTTTGAGGTAATAGCTTTTCAACATACCACAAAACACCCCCTTGGACACATTATTCTCTCTTCAAATCTTTAAGGGGATTTATTATTGTAGTAATAGCAATAATAAGAGCCAGCCATTTTATTATGCTCTTGCTTTGACCTACATATAGACCAGATTATGATGCAGCAATATTATCATGATAACTTTCCAAGCACCAAAAGAGTTGACCCAAAAAAACTATTGGTCATCAAATCTGTCACATCTTACATTTACTCTTTCTCCTCCACTTCTTTCTCAACCATGAGGTATAAGTAACCTACTACAGCTTAAGGCAATTTTTGTGATGAGATTGTCCTACTATCTTTGCCAAAAGAAGTCTCAAGTTACACCACCAATGTTCTTCACCCCTCCTAGAAATCTTCCCTATGGAACAAATCTTTTCTTAGCCATGACCGATATTTAACTACTCTAGCATCATCCCTAATGCTTTAGATTTTAAGAGAAAATATAATTATATAAAAACATCTGAGACAAGAAACATAAATCTTCAAAGCTTCATATCTCCAGATTCACTAATACAGTCTTTGCTTCTTATATTTCGCCTGTCTTTCCCTTATCATACTTATAATCATGTCTTCATTTGAACTGTTATTTGTGTAAGGTCTGCTGACTGCTCCAAGTGAGCTATAAATTCCATGAAGGCAGTGATTCGGTCCACCTAATATGAAGATATATTCCCTACACAAAGTATGGTACCTGACATACGTTTAGTGTATATATTTCTTCAGATGTCCTGGGGACTAAGCATATGGGTATAATCTTTAAAATATTTGTTTTAAGGAAAAATGAATGACTGAAAATGAATATACATATGAGATCTGAGCCCAGGATGTTTGTTATATTGCTATTATAATTATGTTATGTGTACTAAGAACCAATACTACTTCTTTGGCCAAATGCAAGCATGGTGTTAAAATTTTCAGTAATGCGACTGGGAGGTCAAAAGTATTTCATTTGAACAGCAGTTGGTTAGGTATTATTTTATTACATTTTTCTGACATTAATATCCTTGAGGACTATCAAGCATGTTTATCTGACCAATTGGTTCCTCTTCAACTACTGAAGCCTTCAACTACTCTGCCTACTGAAATTTATCTTCCAATGCTCAGGCAACAAGCATAGACAGGGTTTTCTCATTGGATGTGTTTGAGGCACCTCAGCAATCTTACTAGTGTATATGTTCACTGAGCTGAAGAAGTACCTGTATATGAAACTGCTCCCAAAAGATGTCTGCAAAGGTGCATGTGGTTTGTGCACATGCACAACTGAGGTTGCAGCTTGGAATAGCAGGAAAAAGCTTTGCTCTGTAAGTTGTTTTCAACATGTTTAACTATATTCTTGGAGAAAACTAAACTATGATGCACTGAGGGGAACTTCAAACAGGAAGTTTTTATTAATAAATAATTTACGCTTTTGTCCAAAAATGTCCCTTATATAACTTTTGTTTAAATTTTATATTTATTTATTACTATCTATTTTGTAGGCTAAAATAGATAGTTGGGTGAGGAATGGAGTACCTTTGGCTCCCAAGTGACAAGAATATGTTCCTTTTTAATTGAGATGAATATTTATAAAAATCTCCAACAAGTTGTATTCACTTCTCATTCATCCCTGAACAATTATGAAGGAACTGTTTTTTTTTTTTAATTTACACTCTTGTGGACATGCAGGTATGATCAAGACAACCCATTTCATTCATTCATTCATTCATTCATTCATTCATTCATTTTTATGATCGATCTGTCTGGGGATTGTGTGTCCAAATACCATTTGGTTACCAGAAAAGTGTTGCTGTTGAGAATGTGTTCTTTTGTGGCATTGTGTGAAATTTCAAAGGGCAGGCACATGGAAAAAATTAAACATAGTGGTAAGATTTTGAGAGGGTGAAGGAAAATAATACACCGTAGGGTGTAGAGGGAAAGCAGAATCCAGTAGTCAGTGCCCCAAGAATCCTGATAAATCTCCCTGTGTTTTCTTGGTTCTCCTTAATGAGAAAGCTGTCATCCAACCCACTTCCTGATTTTCCCTGGCCCAGTTGGGGCCCCTCCCCTAACGAATCCCTTTCCTTGACCCACAGAGGTTTGCACCTTCTCTCCAATCCCATTATTTTCTCAGGCTAAGTTCTCTTCCTTTGTGTTGCCATCTTAACTTCTACGGCTCATGTCCAGAATTTGTGCTGCGTCACCTGGTGGATGTGCTTACATTGCCTTGGTCTATTTTCACCTGTACTGGGCATGTGTCCAGCAGAGAACTCTCCCAACTCTTTTCTCCCAAATCCTGACACCTGGCCATTAGTGCCCCAGGGACATCTCCCTGCCAGCTCTGAGGATTAAGTTTGGAAGTCAGAGATCTCTTGGAGTGTGTAAATGAGTCTGTTACTGCTATAGGTTCCTAGTAAATCAGCCTTACTAGAATGCTGTGACTTCCTAATGAAGCAGTCCCAGTATCTCATTTAGTTTCCCCAGTTTATTAGGCTTCATATTTGATTCAGCTCCTTAGTTTATTATGCTCAATGCCAAATTTCCTTTTGCACCCTTTCATGTTCATAACTAGCTAACTATGCTAACATACCTATCTGCCCATCTACCCAGTTATTTTAATTCCTACATTTTTGAAGAAAGAGCTGACAATAAAATCTCAAAAGACAAGGGGATTCCACAAGGTCCTAAATGCTGGGAAGATCCATTGCAGAAATAATGACTCTGCTATCTCATTGGAAAAAAAAGAACTGGCTTATCCATTTGTTCCTGACAACTTTCACCTCACTGCAAAAGTTAGGCTGACCTGGGGTGGGAGAGGGAAATGATTATCTATACCATTGTTAAGAAATCCAGCAATTGTACTTCCCATACTTATTGTATTACTGTAAATAATGACTCTTTAAAAGCAGGGCAAACAGAGTCTGAACTGGAAATTCTATTTCAATGAAATATATTTACTACAGAAATTGAAAAAAATTAGACTAGATGGTTTTACAGAAATATTCATTTTTCAATTAGCTAAAACTTAAAGTTTTAATTCTTTTACAAGTTACTTTATTTCTTAAAGCAAGTATAATAATGTTGAAAGAAAACTAATATGTCTACTTAAAATTATTTATTTCAGTCACACCGAGAGGCCAACTGAAAAAGAATAGACAGCATCCTTGATCACTATTTATGTGTTAGAAATAATGGAAGCTATTGAAAACATTTTGTTGTTTAATTTTCACAATAATAAATCAAGTAAATTTGTTTTTACAATTGAAAAACTGAGTCTTCTAGAATTTAGGTTAGTTGATTAGGGCTAATATGTAGTAACACCAGAAATATAATAATAATATTCACCATCACACACACAAAACCACACTGGTCCATCATGGGCAGAGCTGGAGTGTTCCTGACAGTAACACAGGTGGATCTGGGATCTGAAACATGAGACTTTGATTTTAAAAACACCCTTTGTCTACACAGGCACAATCCTGTTTCATGAGACACTGACACAGCTTATATTTTTAATAATTAGTAGAAAATGTTTAAGTTGAAACATTTATATATTTTATACTTAATGGCATTTTTCATCTCACACTGATCCTATCTATGATGTGTGTGATTTCTATAGTGGGATTGTTTTAAGAAAATAAAATCATCCCTGGCTGGCATAGCTCAGTGGATTGAGCATGGGCCTGAGAACCAAAGAATCACAGTTCGATTCCCAGTCAGGGCACGTGCCTGGGTTGCAGGTCGGTTCCCAGCAGGGGGCGCATGAGAGGCAACCATACATTGATATTTCTCTCCCTCTCTCCTTCCCTTCCCCTCTAAAGATAAATAAATAAAAATCTTTAAAAAGAAAAGAAAATCAGCATTCAACTATCTTATTCAAGGTTCACTGTATTTGGAGAGACTGGACTTGAACTCAGACACTGTGGACACAAAACTCTACTCTTAGTACATATTATTTCTAAAAATTCTTCTTTATTCCTTGATAGATAAGGGACACACCCCTGAGGACTCATTCTGTAGTGAATGACTCCTATACAAAGTCTTTAATCATATGCAAAATTCTTGAAAAGTTTTCATCTTGCCATTCAGCAGAAGAGGAAATGAGATTGTAAACATTGGTAGAGATGTCACCTCTATAACTGCATTTTTATGAGGCAATAGTCATTTTTTTCAGGAGTATAGAAAAATGATTAATTAGGATTCTCTATTAATGCAAACAAGATTGTGGAGAAATATGACATGAGGCAAATTGTACACCCTCATGATGAATGACAGGTGATCAGTGGGAAAAAGAGGAGGGGCAATAAGAAAAAGATGAGAGAATGGTGCAGATAAGCTCGGTTCATTAGATGTATCCAAGGCCAGTGGCACTATATAGAGGTGGTTGAGGGTGTAAGTGATTTAAGAACTTGGAGAACACAGTATCATGGGGCCAGCACATTTCATAAGATTGAAATACAGACAATTTTTCTGAGAAAAGGAACATGAAGAATATTTATAGATGGTAAACAGATGGTTCATTATGTTGAAAAATGAGACAGCACAAGCATCAAAGTGTAGGAAAACCCCAACAGGACAGGGAGGAACAGTTAGAGAGAGGGTTAATTTTAAGGAATCAGAGGAGGAAGACTCCACAGAAGCATTATGTTCAAATTGATTCTCTAATCCTATAACCCAGTAGCCATGTTTAGGTTGATATCTAGAGTAAACAAGTTGACAATTGCTACCTTGTCTAACAAACTCTTCATGTTTGAGTTGGGACTTTTCATCACATACCCCCAAGACCTAGGCATTCACCTCTGACACATCTACCTCCTAGTAAATGTTTGCCTGGTGTAATAAATGGTAAACCCAGGACACCAAATTGATCATAAGCATTATTATACCCTTTATAAATTAATGTAGAAGAGGGATTTCCTGTTTGTCTTCGATCTGCAGAAACAACAACCTATAATTCATCTTTGGCAGGATCCAGGGCCATGTGAACTGTAGAAAAATTACAGGGTGTAGAAAAACTCTGATGTGTCTTTATTTGTGATATTGTATGAGAGATCTTTAAGGTAACATGCATGGGAACTGAAAGGTACAACACTGAAGAAATATGTGTTTTGGGAGGGAAAACGTGGATCTTAAGACGTAAGACCCAGCCCGGGTCAGGTAGCTCAGTTAGAGCATTGTCCTGAGAGGCCAAGGTTTCAGGTTCATCTCCTGTCAGTACACACGCAAGAGGCAACCAAAGAATGTATAAATAAGGGGAACAACAAATTAATATTTGTCTCTATCGCTGTCCCTGTCTCTCTATTTCTCTTTATCTCTGTCTCTCTCTCTCTCCTTCTAGCTCTCTCTCTAAAAAATTAATTTAAAAAGTGAAAAAGAAACCCACATATAATCTACTAGAAAATGTAAAGTTCTATAAAAAGATGAGGTCAGGGTGGCTTCATGATACTGTGGTATCTCTTTACCCCAATGGCAGCGTACTTATGGCAATTCTGAAATGATAAAAATTTGTAATAGTAAATATTAGCAAAGGAGTCAGCACTACAATATATTTACAGAACAGGGGAAAGACTGGGGGAAATATTTAGGTAGTAATAGAAGAATGAGAGGTGAACAGGACAGCTGTTCACTCCTCATTAACTATAGCTACATCATCACCACATGATATCCATTCTCCTTTCCCACCTCTCTCACACCTAGAAACTGAACCCTCCTCCTTCTTTAACTCCCACCATCAACAGACCCCCATAGCCACCCACCAGCTCTGCATTCCTCACCATTAAACACTTGCAGCATTGCACTCAGGTCAGGGGCTTGGAACACTCTCCTTTGATCCTTGGAGACAGTTTTTGGCTTCTTCAGAGTAAAGGTCTTACTCCTAGGTATGACAAAATAATATTCTCACATCTCTGACTTTTTTGCTCTCCAAAACTACTCATTTCTGTCTACTCACCCCACTAAGCACTTGAGCCTCCTTCAGTGAACCCCTGAGTAAGAAGAGAGCAGACTTCCAGACTTGTAGCCAAAGGAAAGTGCTCATGTCTAACTTATTGTACACAGTGTGTGTTCTTAGGCAGACCTTGACCTCGCAAAAGCACAGTTAATTCCTTTCAAAATGAAAACTGACCTCCACTTCTCTTATCACTTGTAATCATATAAAATTACATGACTTTTTTTAAATGGAAACTTTGGTTCCTTAAAACAAAATAATGTGAGGAAAACTCATCAAATGGATGTGGAGAGATATTACATGACAGAGAGGTGGCAGAATTTGGCTCCTAGTAATTTGAGAGATACCACTATCCAGTGAGGGACTACTGTCTGGAGGGGATCAAGACTTTAAAGTCTGCTCCTCATTAGGGAGACTCTCAGAATAAAATCTGAGATTTGTTTCTCTTGGGAAAACATAACACCTGGAAAAGAAGACATTATATATACCACACTAATTGTGGTTGGCATTTTTTATGATTGAACAGCTTGTTGTAGCCAGTTAGGTGCACAAATGTAGACACAATAATGCTGCCCTTTCATTCTTTCTTTCATAATGCTTTCGAAAGTGCATGGTCAAGAGAGATCAGTTGTTTGAACCAGGGCCAAAATATATTCTTTGCTATTCACATCTGTTTTTTGTTAGAGAGAGAGAGAGAGAACTGTTGGGAAGGGACCAGGATTCTCCTATCCACAAGGGATAAATTTAAACATAAAAGAGTCCTCTTTAATTCTGGGTGCTTGGCAGGTATAGAAGATACAACCTATGCACAATAAAGTCACTAAGAAATAAAGGAAGCCTGAATTAAATACAGGAATTCTAGGTGAGTAAAATTATGAAGTCACATGGATCTGACACTGTAACATCTCACCCCTAGCAGCTGTTGATCCAAACTCAACAAATCCCCCAACCTAAATTCTCCACTACACAAACTGGTCCATTTGCAGTAGTTAGGGAACACTCAAACCATTGCATGTAAACAGACATTTAAGATAAAGATAAACCAAAATTTGCTTGCCATGAGCAATATTTTATTCTAATTAACCACCAGATAGCATTAATAGCTTTAAACCTCTTTCCACAGCACAAAAGGACCATTTCTGGTCTCCCACACATACCTTTCCATGATGCCATTCACATCCTAGGGAGAAAAGAGAAAACATAAGTCAAATAATAATAAGCGTCCTCACTTACAAAGCTTCTTCACATCCCCACCACTCCCTGATATGGTGGGAATAGAGATGGTTGGTCTCAAAGTGAGACCCAAGAAGTAAAGAGAAAACTCGGGTCAATCATTCAAGAAGACTCATGTGAAGTTTTCAGGTTTCCTAAGAGGTAGAACAAACTTTCAGCTTGTGGAACCGTAGCATAAGGCGTCCACTATCAGGACATGAGGTATATTTAGGAAAAAAACATGAGGCCCATGACATATTACCCATGTTTGTAAGGCTCTCAGGAGATGATTTGAATATGTCATGGGTCATTAATTTATTCAACATGAATGTAAAATGATGTACTATTAGTTGTCAAGCATTACCTCAAGAAGTTTACATGAGTTCTGCTGAGGGTACAAGCAAACAAACATATTAATATAGGCTTTTCTCAAGTATATCCTCATTTGATACACTGCCTTTCAAGTGCCCATGTTAAAGCATCATTGTGTTGTTGCTATAATAATAGAAAGCAATTTTGGAAGCAAGTATCCATATTTTACTGAGATTAATTTAATATTCATCTGAAGTAGACCATGATAAAATAGGGTGCATATTGTGTTCCAAGGAGCAACTACAACAAAAATAGAAACTACTATGCTTAATATTTTATATTTGAAATATCTATTTAATTCAGAAGAAGTTTGTTGAAGTGAAATAGAACAATAAAAATTACAAGCAACTTATTGAAGCAAATTACAATATAAATTAAATAGAGCTACATGAGAATTGCAATAAATGTTATTGTCCTAATTCACCAAATAAAGGCAGGGATTCTTGGACTAGATGAAAAACAATTTCATTATTGCTAGTGACATGAGACATATTTTGCACTCAAAGACACAAGTAGGGCAAAAGTAAATTGATAGAATTCTGGTCAAAATGGTGGAGTATGTAAATGCTGTGATTGTCTCCTCCTACAACCAAATGAAAATTGTAAATAAATTACTGAATAATCACCCTCAAGAAGCACCTGAAGATGAGCTGAACAGAACTTCTATAATTAAAGATATAAAGAAGAAGTCACCTCAATACTGGTAGGTGGGGCTGAGACAAAACTGTCTGCTACCACACCCTCCTGTGCAAGTTAAGAATTAGTAGGAATATCTTAGATGCAGAGGTACATCCTGATAGACGTGAAGTTCAAGCACCACATCCAGCTCCTCAGCCAGGAGTGCCAGTGCTGGGAAGAGAAGTCCCCACCATATCTGGCTGTGAAATCCATCCAGCATGGACTCAGTCCAGGTGAGATGGAGGGCTACTGAAAAACGTGGCATCTCCTTAAAGGGCCCCAGCACAGAGTCACTCCTTCACAACACTTGTCCTAAGCTCCAGAGATGAGACAGAAACTTGAAACGTGCCAGAGACATATGAGGAGAAACTGAATTGTCTGGCTTCAGGTGGAGGACTGGTGGGGCAACACTCCCAAGGACTAGAGTGCTGGCAGGCTCTGTTTTTTTCTTCTGGAGCCCTTCTGTACACAGCCACCAGACACAGGCAAGGACCAAATCTGAGTCCCCATTAACCAGGCTAACACCACTGTTGCCCAATCCCAGTGATTTTCAGAGACCCTACTGTACCCAATTCAAGCCTCTGACCAAATCTCTTTCAGAGGATAATCCACACAAGCAGCTGGCCTGTCAGCCCATGCTTCAAATTTTCCTAAAATCTCTCAAGTTCCCCAAACAAGCAGTGGCTTACCTAGTATAGGCTGACCTAGTATGACTTTTCCTCTTGCTAAGCGGCCTCAGGCTAGCAGTTATATTGGCTCATCCTAGTGAACTGCATAGCATCTCCAAGACATCTCCAAAACCAGCACAGGCAACCACCCCAACCACAGATCACTTTGTTGCTCCTAATAGGTAGTGCTGAGACATACAAAGGAAGTGGCCAAACTTGGCTTACACCAGAGCCCCTCCCAAGAGGACGCAGAACCAATACACCTGGCAGCCAGTTTCAGAACTTACCAGAATGCCACTCAATTAGGGCCACAAATGACACATCCAAAGGGTGGACACAGTAGGCACATGAGCCCCATTATTGTGAATCCCACTCCATGGAGTCAGCTTGTTCACTAGAGTCAATGCCATTACTCACAGCCACTCAGCCTAATGGTCAGTCCTAGCCTCAGATGTGCCAAAAGTAATTAAGGCTCAGCTATAGTAGGAGAACACATACAACCCACACTAGGGATACCCCTGGAGCCCAATGCTCATGTGAATAAAAAAGCGCAAAAGATACTACTATATAAGGCACTCAGTCAAGACTAGAAGACATGGCAAATATACATAATACACAGAAATAAACATAGGGAGGCAGCCAAAATGAGAAGACAATGACACAGTCCCAAATCAAAGATCAGGATAAAACCTCAGAAAATAGAAGTATTTGATTTGGAAGTTCTCAGGGGGAAAAGAGATGGAAGCAGAAATACAATTTTTTAAATTATTTTCTATTCAACACATTACAAATTAAACAAAATGAATGCAAGGATCCATCCACCAGATGCAGAATTCTAAACAGTGTTTATAAGGCTCATTGAACTTAGGGAAAGAATAGATGATCTCAATGAGAACTTCAACAAAGAAACAGGACACATAGTAAAGTAGGTAGCATAAAAATGACTAAGTGAGGAATGAAGAATGCAGATAAATAATCTTAAAGGGGGCAAGGAAAAACTAGTTGTTTACCTGTACGATTCCTGTAAGACTACCAGCTGATTTCTCAACAGAAATTTTGCATGCCAGAAGGGATTGGCATTAGTCAAGTGATGAAAAGCAAGGACCTACAACCTAGATTACTCTATCCAGAAAAGCTATCATTTAGAATTGAAAGAGACCCAAAGAGCTTTCCAGATTAGAAAAAGAAGACATGTTAAAGGGACTTAAGAAGAAGAAAAGAAATTATAATGGCATCTATAGACCCTTTCACACAATGAATGCACAATACACATTTTTTCAAATTTATATTAAAAATTTTGGCCCTGGCTGGTGTAGCTCAGTGAATTGAGCACGGGCCTGTGAAGCAAAGGGTAGCCAGTTCGATTCCCAGTCAGGGCACATGCCTGGGTTGCAGGCCAGGTCTCTAGGAGGGGCACATGAGAGGCAACCACACATTGATGTTTGTCTTCCACTCTTTCTCCTTCCCTTCCCCCTCTCTAAAAATAAATAAATAAGTAAATTAAAAAAATTTTTAAATTGTATATATAACATTTTATATTATAGTGTCAATATATTTAAAAATTGAAATAATATAAGTTATGCATTTTAATTAGAAAGAAATTAAATGTAAAATATTCAGAATAAGTATAAAATTTCCTGGTGTTTTTAATTAAACTATAGTTTCAAAGATACCAAGAGTTTAAGAACAACAACAAAAAAAATCACAAAAGAAATTTGAAAATAAGTTAATTGAATCCAAATGATAAGTAAATAATCGAGAAGTATAGAATATAGCAAAAACAATGTTTTTATATCATTAAAATTGATACAGGAAAGATTGTGTCAAATCAGTGGTCTAAATTCTCACCTTAAGAAACTAGAAAAATAGAAGGACTTCCACCAAGATGGAGGCATAGGTGGAAGCACTGCACCTTCTCACACAACCAAGTTTAAAAACAACAAAAATGCAGCCAAACCACAGAAAATTGAACTACACAGAAGTCTGACAACAACAAACCCTTCAGCCAAACTAGTAGAAGGGGCAGAGAGCAGGGTTGGGCAGGAAAGATCCACCGGACTGACCCGGGCATGCAACCCAGGCACACCAGCAGCCGTAGGCGGATCCCAGGTGTGGAGTAGCAGGCAGACCCACTGAGGGCGCAAGGCAGTGGACTCACTGAGAGCTGACCACAGTTACACATTCGAGTGCAGATAAACCAGTGAAGAAGCGAAGCGGTGAGACAGACTGTGCAGGCCCCAGTGGCGGAAAGCAGCAGAGGGGACCTCCATTGTGCCTCTCTAACCACGCCCCCACATACAGCATCACAAACCAGTGACCTGGGTGGCCCCACCCTGGTGAACACCTCCTCATACGTAACAGGCATGAACAGATCAAAACATGGCTCAAGAACAACTCAGAGCCCCAGAGCCAATAAATCTAAGCAATGAAGAAATAGCTAAACTTTCAGATGCACAGTTCAAAACACTGGTGATCAGGATGCTCACAGAACTGGTTGACTATAGTCACAAATTAGAGGAACATATGAAGCCTACACTAATGGAAATGAAAGGAAATGCATAGGAAACCAATAGTAATGGAAAGGAAACTGGGACTCAAATCAAAGGTGTGGACCAGAAAGAGGAAAAAAATGACCAAACAGTAAAATATGAAGAAACAAGAATTCAAAAAAATGAGGAGAGGCTTAGGAACCTCCAGGACATCTTTAAACACTCCAACATCAAAATTATAGGAGTACCAGAAGGGGAAGAGGAACAGCCACCAGTGGAAAACTTATTTGAAAAAATAATAAAGGAGAATTTCCCCAAGCTGACAAAGGAAATAGACTTCCAGGAAATCCAGGAAGCTCAGAGAGTCCCAAAGAAGTTGGACCCAAGAAGGAACACACCAAGGCACATCATAATTATATTAGCCGAGATTAAAATGAAAGAGAGAATTCCAGAAGCAGCAAGAGATAAGGAGACAGTCACCTACAAAGGAGTTCCCATCAGACTGTCAGTGGATTTCTCAAAAGAGACCTTACAGGCAAGAAGGGGCTGGAAAGAAGTATTCCAAGTCATGAAATCCAAAGACCTACATCTGAGATTGATCTATCCAGCAAAGCTTTAATTTAGAATGGAAAAACAGATAAAGTGCTTCTCAGATAAGATCAAATTCAAGGAGTTCATCATCACCAAGCCCTTAGTATATGAAATGTTAAAGGGACTTACCTAAGAAAAAGTAGATAAAAAATATGAACAGTGAAAGGACAGCAAACTCATAGTTACTAAGAACCACACCTAAAACAAAAGCAAACTAAGAGGACAGCTAGATCAGGAGCAGAACCATAGAAATGAAGATCACATGGAGGGTTAGCAGCACGGAAGTGGGAGAAGGAGAAGGGGGGAGAAGGTACAGAAAATAAGTAGCATAGACAGTAGGTAGAAAATAGATAGTGGGGAGGGCAAGAATAGTGTGGGACATATAGAATCTAAAGAACCTGAAACACGTGGTCATAAACTAAAGGGGGGAATGGTGGGGGAGGGGTGTGCAGGGCGGAGGGGAATGAAGGGGGGAAATAGAACTGTAATGGTATAATCAATAAAATGTATTTAAAAAAAGAAACTAGAAAAATAACAGCAAATTAAACACAATACCACACATGCATACACACACTCAGTTCACATGTGTAAACACAGGAACATGAAGGAAACAAAATAATAAAGAACAGAAGTCAATAATATAGGAACTGGAACTTTAAAAAATAAATTAATTAAATAATAAAGTTTATTTTTGCAAAACATCAGTAAAATTAACCAAATTGACCCTCCCAAAAAAGCAAATCACATTAATAAGAAGTAAAAGAGAAGACATCACTGTGACTGCTGTAAAAAATGAAACAGATTCTAAGGGACTATAATGACTAACTTTGTGATTATAAATGACAACTAACTATGGACAAATTTCTACAAAGATGTACATTATCAAAATCTGAGTCAAGAAATGTTAAGAAAACTTAATACAGGAGAAATATATATTTTACTAAGTTTATATATTTGTACATGCGATAAATAAATTTATATATTCAATATTATACATTTTCCCCTGTATATATATATATATATATATTCAATATATAAACTTAGATACTCAATAAAATAGTGTGTACATATGCATATGTATATACATATTTTTAAACTGTTCCAAAAAGGAAAGGCCCAGAGTGAGATGGTTTCACTAGTAAATTTATTGAATTATTAAAGAATAAATAATACCAATCTTTCGTAATTGCTTATTTAAAAAATACAGAGGAGGAAAATCTCAACTCATTCTATGAGGAAAAAAATAAAACTAAAATTCCTGGGGCATTGGAAGGTATTTGAAAAATATTCTAGAGAGGATCACAGATATAGGGGCCTATAGAATATAATTTGAAACAGTGAATCTTCTTTCCACAGTCGAAAATTTTTACTGGAACTAATACATTGTTGCAAACAAGGTTTTCCTTGTTATTTATGCATGCAATTATTCCTATACCCTCTGAAATAGATGCGGAAAAAGGTTATTGCAAGGCCATGGAAACCTCAGTGTCACCACCAGAAATAGCACAGACACACAGCACAGCAAGAAACTTGTCTTCATTTTCCTCAAGCTCAAATTCTGAGTCTTTGTCCCAACTTACCTGCAGCATCTTCCTCATTGACCCCTGCAACCGATGTTCCAGCTCTGACATGAGATCCCTCAACACCAGGCTCTGCTGGACCAGCTCACTCTCAGACTGTTCCAGGTCATGGAGAATATCTCTTTTCTCCTTCATCAGCTTTTGTAGCTCCTTCTGCTCCTCAGTGTCCAGAAAGCCTCTCAGTTTTTTAAAATAATCCTGGACACTTTGGCTGTCGTTTTGTATTAGATTCTTCAGGAATGAGAAAGAGAGAGGGACTCAGGCTATCAGACGGCAGCTAGGAGCCAGAAGAAGAAGTATTTGATTTGGATGTTCTCACAGGGAAGGGAGATGAAAGCAGGAGAGCAATGCTTAGGGAGGCTGATTTTTCCTATTATTTTCTCTTCAACACATTCCAAAATAATGCCCTCAAGTCCACATTACTGAAGCCAACATTGAAGGAAAAGGAGATACCTGGGTGTGGCTCAGTTTTACCGCAGTTTCCCAGGACACTCATGCCTCCCTGCATTACTCCTGAACTCAACCCCCACCCTCAGCCTAACTTTGAGCACTGGGGTATGGAGTCCTGTACTATTGGAAATTGTCTTCCCCGGAAGAGTTCAAGGTTCAAAATAATGACAGTAATGAGCACAGAATTCACAAGCCAGCCTCACCACATAGTTTTTCTGAGAATCACTAACATACAAATATCTGTGTTAATTTATGACAGATTCTATTTTAGCCCCACCCCTATCAGGAAAAGGATAAAGAATGCCTAATCTATGACTGGACATATCAACTTTCAGGGAGGGAACAGAAAGAAGGGAGCTCTTTGAGACTAAGACTCAAGGATCTGCCCAGATTCTTGTCTAACTCCCTCAGAGGAGTTTCCTCCTACCTTCCAGGAAGTCCTCTCTTCTCTGATGTCAGCTTTCAACTTTTCGGCTTTCTGCTGTTCAGCCCTCAGCCTGTTCAGAGCTGCCTGCAGCTTTTTCTGTGAGGGAGGAATCAAAGCAGAGCCTAGCTATAAGCTTTCACAGGTTCACAATGTAGGACAAAGGCAGAAAAATCAGGCTGACCTCTGAAGATACTAGAGTTTACAGGAAGCAGTTAGAACCCGTGACTCAAAGGAAACCTGATGTGGTGAATGTTTTCTCTAAGACTCAACTGATAGAAGTCCCCATTCCATGTCAGCAGAAGACTGATTCTGTTTGTACTAGAAACCTGATTCTGTAGTAGGGAAAAACTTAGGTATTGATCCACCCAGCTGCCCACCTACCACTCTTATTGAAAGGGGCCATAACAGCTTTCTTTGGGCACCAAAACTCCACCTATCAGCACAACCTATAAAAATACCTACTTCTTTTTTGAGTCTGCTCGAATTTTTTAATTGTGTGGAATGTGCAGAAATGTCTTTCAGGACTTAGAAGGGGAGCATAGGAAGAAAAGTGATCACAAGACTCAGGGCTAGAGTGGCAAAGTAACTACAGTCAATGCAAAACAGAGATTTCTCATCAACTACTATTTTCTGCCCTGTCTTTCCTCTATCCTGTTACCTTGTACTCCTGGGCAACTTCTTCCATGAGGAATGTATGATGACCACGGTGCTCTTTTGACCTCTCGCAAAGCCAGCAAATGAATTTCCCATCTTCCTTACAGAAGAGCAGGAGTTTCTCTCCATGGCGCTCACAAAGATCTGTCTTTTGCTCCTCCTCTGGACTCAACTTGACCTCCCTGAGCGTCTCCACTATGTTGGCCACATGCCGATTTGGCCGCAGGTTCCCAGACTGGTAGGTGATTCGGCACACAGGGCAGCTGCTCTGCCCTTCTTTGCTGACCATGGACTCCTGGTTGTTTGCAGTGATGCAGGCTTGGCAGAAGGTGTGCCCACAGTCTAGGCTCAGGGGTTCTGTCAAGAGCTCTAGGCAGATGGGGCAGGTCACCTCCTCCTTTATGTTCACCAGGATTCCTGAAGCCATCGCAGCTGCTCCATTGCTCCTATCTGTCCTGATCTGAGGTTCCTGTGGCTCACAGATTTCTGCCAGAATCAAAAGGTTAAAGGGGACAGAATAAGAAAGGTAAGAATAAATTATGCTAACTGTGTAGAAATCACAGACTTGGCAAGAAAACATATTGAAGGACAAAAAAGAAATGGTAAAGAGACAAGGAAAGGAGTTGGTGACCTGGTAAAAAGAGTAATTCGTAACAATTTTAAATACTTTTAGTTTACCTGACATGACAAATTTCATTCTTATCTATGCTATGGTGGTTGTTGTCCTTTACTTTTACAAGGATGCCCTGAGGCTCTACCAAGATCTTTCTGTGACCCAAAATCTCATCTACTTATTCTTTCCCATGAAGAAAACACATCCTCAATAATAAAAGTACCAAAACACTTATGTGTCTGAGCTTTTATACCTGCTCTTCTCTCAGCACACAGTGCTACCTCTGGTATAAGTAAAAATCACTCTCATCCTTTGGTTAACTCTCTCCTATGTATTCATTTATCATAAAGCCCTGCTGTGACTTTCTTGTTTACAGTGTAACTATTGTTATCATTCACTGTACGTTCTAAATGACTTCTCTTACCCGCAGGACACAATATGTGACAGTGTATTTGTGTATGTGGCAAGAGAAAAACCTCTACCAGTTGTGTACATATAGACAGTGAGTGATTACAAAGATTATTTGTCTTCAATACACAGAGCTGTGATGAGCCTAATGAATTCATGGTGTCCCTTCAGAGGTCTGTTCCTACCTTAATGAGTTAATCAAAGGCAAAACAGGTAATTTAGAAGGTTCTGGGAAGTCTTGTGCTGACAAATGGTAAAATTCCATGTTTGCCTGGAAATATACCAAGGACCTTTTTAGGAGCCCAAAGGTATGGATGGTGCTGAGGGAGATAGTATAAATACACTCATAGGATCACAGAAGTCACGTAACTGCAGAAATAAGAACATAGATGAAATGAGTATCAGTCCTGGGAAAGAAGTCCCAAATATTAGGTAAGATGATTCAATTAATTTTTAATGAATATAAATTACATGCTAATAACTAAACTAATATCTACAAACAAAAAGATGAGTCAAAATACAGAGTTTAAACCACTCTGACCCTGACATTTGACATTCACCTGGAAAGTACTGTATTTTTTGGACCATAAGACACACCTAGGTTTTAGAGGAGGGAATAGGAAAAAATTTTTGAAGCAAAAAATGTGGTAAAATATTTAATAACATAAATAACATAATATTTCACCAATGTAAATGTAAACAGAACTCAGGAGCAGCATTAACAACCATTATTACTGACTTTAAGCTTTAAGTAGGAAAACTCCTCTAATCATCAAGGAACTCCAAGAACTCCTCGTCAGTACTGTCCACATTTATGAAGCTCAGTTCCTCAGAATCACTAGGATCACTGTCTTCACTCTGTTCATAGAGGATGTCATCCTCAGAGCCATCTAAGACATTGCTGATGCAACAATTTTTGAAGGACCTCACAACGATTTCATCCTTAACTGCCTGCCATAAGGTTTTCACCCACTCACAGACTGGGTGGGGTAAACATGGGCCTCTTCATTCATCCAGTTGGTGTCAGATCATGATTTCCAGAAGCCATCCATTTGTCCCACTCTTCTCTCATGAAAAGTTTAAATGGCTTGTTGATGGAAACACCCAAAGGCTGCAACTGGCTGGTAAGCCCCCCAGGAATTACAGTTAGATGGTTTTTCTCTTCTTTAAATCTTTTTTGTGGCTTCAGTGATATGTGCCCTAAACTGGTCAACCACTGATAGAGCAGTTTTTTTTCAGAATCCCTCCAGGGCATTTGGACCATACTTTTTCCATCCATGTCTTCAGGCCATTTTCATCCATCCATCCTTTGTCATGAACATGAACAATAACTCCTCTTGGGATTGCCTCTTTTGGCATGTTTTTTCTCTCAAAAAATCAGCATTGGTGTCAGTTTGGTGCCATCTGCACAGCAGGACAACATAACCTTGTAATGGATTTTATCGTGCCTTTACATTTTCACGGTTATGGCTTTGGCACCTTTCACATCAACAGTCTTGTTTGATGGGACATCAGAGGTTAATGGGACATCATCCATGTTCCCAATCTGGCTTATTTCAAATCCATTTTTCTTTCTTGCATCCAGTACAAATTTGTGAAAAGACACAATCTTGGATTTATATTGTATAGGCATTTTTTTTGTGTGCAACCCTAGTTTTGGTGTGCATAGCAAGGCCACATCTCTTCATAAATCTGTGGCACCATGATGGTGATCCAGTGAAGTCCTCAATGCCTTTCTCTGCAGCAAGATGTTTGGCTTCATATACGATCATTTTTGTAGATACAGAAAAGCCATTGTTCCCGTGACGTGTGATCCACTCTTTCATATACACTTCTAACTGTGACCACTTTGCAGCATGCCCACAAAAACATTGTTTCGTTTCATCCGTTTTTTTTTGCAGTTCATCCTCCTGTTTCCTCCATTCCTGTACCATTTTTTCAGTAGGAGGTGGCCCAAAGTGTCTCTCTGCTGTTCTGTTCCCATGTTCTTTGGCATACTTCACTACCTCCAGTTTAAAAGAGATTTTATATGAAATCCTTTTCTGCCCTGACATCTTTCCACAATTATGGTAGATTCCATAGGAGACTACAGTACACTATTGCATCTTTCTACAACAAAATACAATAATGACCGTGTCCTTATTAGCAATACAATATCAGCACTGTGACCTTTATAGTTATGATGGCACTGTAGCTAAGAACATCAGTGGATGATGCCCTGTTATGGGGGGACCTGCTGCTGACACTGTTATGGGGGATCTGCTGCTGGAAGGCCACAGGTTGTGCAACACTCTTGTATGGGGACAGCAGTTTTGCACAACCCATGTGGCTCTACATCTGTGGCACTACAGCTCCTGACAAAGTGCAGATCCCACCATCCCAACCTGTCCGAGCATGATGGGAGCTGTAGTTTTGCAACAGCTGCAGGGCCATTTGACAGGTGGCCCTGCAGTGGAATTTGCCTATGTTAATGTTAATGGGGGATTCACCAATCACATGATGGAGGCACATATGGGTGCCGCAAGCTTTCTTCTCCTAATGTGCCTGCACTGCCTGTACCCTCTTCCCTAGTACTATAGCGGGGACTCCACTCCTGCCTCCCTTGTTTCGCACTGCCAGGACACCCACTCCTCCCAGCCCAGGACCCGAAGCATTTCCCCACTCCTGCCGCCGCTGGCTTCCTGCAGTGGTGACCCTGCTCCTGCCTCCTGTGACCCTTCTCCACCACTGCCCCCCCCCCCAGTGAGCCAGGTAAGTTACATTAGGACTATAAGATGCACCCCCATTTTCCTCCCAAATTTGGGGAAAAAGTGTGTCTTATAGTCCAAAAAATATGGTAACAGTAAATTAAATAATCAGCCATATATATGTGTGTGTATTTCTCAGATATACATATGTTTTCAGATATATATAAATATGTATACATACGTGTGTGTATATTTATATATATATGAAAAACAGCACTAGAGAGGTGTGCACGTTTTGGGGAAATCAAACAATGGGGGCAGATAATCAGTTGTCCAGCAATTCCAACTTGAAATCATAAGAGTTGAACTGAAAAGTGAAGGAGATGAGGAAATGTGGCATACAAATGTGAGGAAATATGTAGTAGGTAAGGAAATGACCTGTTCATAAAAGACATACCACCTTGTCTGAGTTTAGAAATGACAGTGTAGCTGGTATGCTGAACACTGCCAGCCTTTCAACAATACACAAGCCTGCAGTGACCATGATATATGGCATTTCCCCAGTTATGTAAACCTTAGGGGTTGTTTTCTAAAAGCAAAAGAAACTATCCATATTTTCCCCTCAGAAAATGGGGTACACAATTAGCTTTGTCCTTGGGTGGTGGAGTGTTAGATGGACCCAATGTGGAATGGGAAGATGAGTTGAATGCATGCACAGTTGCCAGAGGAGAAAAGATGAGAGCTTTCAAGACAAGGTAATGAAGCAAATGGAGAGCAGTGGAAAAGGTTAAGACAAAGAATAAGGTAAGAGGAAAAGACTGTCATTTAGATTATCAACATGGAATCAGAGTCAATATCAGCCTCTTTCTTCCTAGAGAGGTAATATTGGCTTACTTTTCTAGTAATTTGGGTATTTGTTTTTTAATTTGTTTTTTGAGAAACTTATAAGGTTATTGTACGATAAAGAGGAAGGTTAGCTGACTTGCAAAGCCATATTATTGCCAGCAAAAATAGCCTGATGTTGAAAGTGCATTTGGAGGACTTCCTTAGAACTCAAAAGCCAGTTAGTAAGCTTAGACTTTGTTTTTCATAAAACATCATTCTCCTGGCTCCCCTCACCCTTCTTTTGCAGCATCCCACTGAGATCTGGAACTCGGAATGTACTCTTTGGTTTGTTGGAAACAATTTTTGGCTTCTTCAAGGTGTAGATCTCGCACCTAGAGAAGAAAAGAATCGATTGTTCACAATTCCGACTTTGTGTCTCTCAAAGACCAATGTCTTCCTCAGCTTTCCCTCCACTGATGCTGCCTCACTGGACTCCACTTTGCTGAAGAACCTTGAGGGAGGGAGAGGTGAGGGCCAAGATGACGCAGCCTGAAGAAATGTCTTCATGTCTGCCTTTCCATTCACTAACTGAGTGACCTTGGGAAGGACTTCTTCTCAGGAAGCCCATGTTCTTCCTATTTTTTCCTATAGGAAAAAGAAAAACCATTTTTTTCCCTATGAGATGCCAAAGTGTTTAAGCAAAAAGAGGTTAATTATTGACAGTAGGACTAAAGTCATTATTCCCTGAGACTTGAGTTATTTATTTATCTATTACAACCCAAAGAACATCACCTAAAAAGTCTGTGCAAAACTCTCCCTGCAGAAAACTTGGGGGCCTGGCAGATATAAAGAAGACATGATCCTTCCTGTGACAAGATAGGTACCTATGAAGTATAGAAACAAATGCTAAGGCAGGGACTGAGGTCTGACTAAAATGAGTGAAGTCAATGAATTCTGATGCTGCAATCCTTTACTTCCAGTGCTTCTATTCACCCAAACTCTGTGACCTCCCACCACACACATCTCTACCATTAAATAGTTTCACCTGTTATCAACAATTTGAAACTATGTAATACCCCAATTTTTAAAAATTATGATTGGTTGAAGATCACTCTTATTGTTATAATTCTGTCCTCACACAAAAAATGACCATGCCTGGCATGGAACACTTACCTTCTTAAGGTGTTCATCACATCCTGGGGAGAAGAGAGAATATGTAAGTTCAGCGTAAGGTTTCCACATTTAGAAAATTAACATGGCTAATTAAAATTTAATTGTGGATAAATTCCAAGTATGTCTTAGTATAATCATCATCTCTGCAATATTTAGAATATTTTGCTAAAGGGCTCTTTAGCTAAAGATTCTTACCTAAGGACTCTTTAGGACCCTTCTGCTAAAAAATGATGTGTCATTATCTGAAATTCAAATTTAACTACACATTCCTTATTTTTTTCTGGCAAATCTTGAAGGAGTGATAAGTCCTCCTACCTTTCGAAGTTTTACTCACCTTCCTCCTCACATCCCTAGCACCCCTGGCTATGGTGTGAGTAAGAAGATAGTCAGACTAAATAAATGGGGACAAACTTTAGAAATAAGACCCAGACCAAGCCCCCAAGAACTCATGTGAGGATGCAAGAAAGATGCTTCAAGGATCTGGAGATGAAATATTTATAAGGAAGAGAGTCAGCCCACAGTTTTTTAAATATATATTGATGAACAAACCCCTTAATTCATTACACTTTTATTTATTGTAGAGACAAAGGTAAAAATCTTTCATTTGTCAGATGTCATTCCAGTTTCTGGGTTATAAAAATAAATAACAATTACAATCCTCAGGAATTATATTTTCTTTTGTTGAAGGAACAAGCAAACTAGCCCCCCAAACAAATGTTCCTATGACCTCCCTCCACTCATACCACATACCTCCTACACACTACCTAAAGGGAAATTCATCAAGTTTTACATATGAATCAGGCCATAGAAGCCAGCAGCAAAAAGTCTAAAATGTCATTGACTGATTTCCAACATTTTACATTCTACTATCCAGATCAATATCTTCTTCATCAATGTCTTAAATAGTATAACTTATCATAAATTTTAATATCATATTAAGCCAGTTCAGTCCATGTGATCAGCTTCTTTTAGCCATCTTCTTTTCCCCATTTTAACATTATTAGCCTTATTTTTTGAGTGGAAATACACCAGTGTAGTTGATTTCACCCTCTTTATTCTAAAGCCTTTATACCAACAAAGCTTTGGCTATACAGACTTCCGCCAAAATGGAGGTGTAGGTGGAAACACTTTGCTTCCTCGCACAACCAACTCTAAAAACAACAAAGTTTTAATAACAATAAACGCAACCAAACCACAGAAAATCGAACAATATGGAGTCCGAAAAACAACGAACTGCTCAGCTAAACCAGTGAGAGGGGTGAAGCCAGCAGCAAAGTGGGTCGGGCAAAAAAGATCCCCCGACCTGGGCAGCGCAAAGGCAGCTGAGGGCGCTGATCCCAGGTGCAGGGTAGCTACGGGCAGTCCTAGGGAAGGCACGGCAGGGCTGGCTGTCTGAGGCTGTCCTAGGGAAGGCACAGCAGGGCTGTCTGCATTTGCATGCAGATGAACCAGTGAAGAGACGTGCATTGAGACAGACCGAGCAGGCCCCAGGCCAGGGCTGTGGGCTCACACATTTGTGCTCAGATAAACAGGTGAGAGTGAGCGGTGAGGTGGACCAGGCGAGCAGAGAGGACCACCATTGCTCCCTCTCTGACCCGTACCCACATACAGCATCACAAACCAGTGACCTGGGTTGCCCTGCCCTGGTGAACAACTAAGGCTCCGCTCCTCATATGTAACAGGCACAAACAGATCAAAACATGGCTCAAGAACAACTCAGAGCCCCAGAGCCGATAAATCTAAGTGATGAAGAAATAGCCAAACTTTCAGATGCACAGTTCAAAACACTGGTGATCAGGATGCTCACAGAACTGGTGGATTTTAGTCACAAATTAGAGGAACATATGAAGGCTACACTAATTGAAATGAAGGGAAATGCACAGGAAACCAATAGTGATGGAAAGGAAACTGGGACTCAAATCAAGGGAGTGGACCAGAAGGAAGGAAAAAAATGACCAAACAGGAAAATATGAAGAAACAAGAATTCAAAAAAATGAGGAGAGGCTTAGGAACCTCCAGGACATCTTTAAACGCTCCAACATCCGAATTATAGGGGTACCAGAAGGGGAAGAGGAACAGCCACCAGTGGAAAACTTATTTGAACAAATAATAAAAGAGAACTTCCCCATTCTGGCAAAGGAAATAACTTCCAGGAAATCCAGGAAGCTCAGAGAGTCCCAAAGAAGTTGGACCCAAGAAGGAACACACCAAGGCCCATCATAATTAACATTAGCCAAGATTAAAATGAAGGAGAGAATCCTAGAAGCAGCAAGAGATAAGGGGACAGTCACCTACAAAGGACTTCCCATCAGACTGTCAGCGGATTTCTCAAAAGAGACCTTACAGGCAAGAAGGGGCTGGAAAGAAGTATTCCAAGTCATGAAATCCAAAGACCTACAACCAAGATTGCTTTATCCAGCAAAGCTCTCATTTAGAATAGAAGGGCAGATAAAGTGCTTCTCAGATAAGATCAAATTCAAGGAGTTCATCATCACCAAGCCCTTAGTATATGAAATGTTAAAGGGACTTACCTAAGAAAAAGAAGATAAAAAAGATGAACAGTGAAAGGACAGCAAACTCACAGTTATTAACAACCACACCTAAAACAAAAGCAAATTAAGAGGACAGCTAGATCAGGCGCAAACCATAGAAATGAAGATCACATGGAGGGTTAGCCACAGGGGAGTGGAAGAAGGAGAAGGGGGGAGAAGGTACAGAAAATAAGTAGCATAGACAGTCGATAGAAAATAGATAGTGGGGAGGGCAAGAATAGTGGGGGAAATACAGAATCTAAAGAACTTGAGACACATGTTCATGAACTAAAGGGGGAGAATGGTGGGGGAGGGGGTGTGCAGGGTGGAGGGGAATGAAGGGGTAGAAATAGAACAAATGTAATGGCATAATCAATAAAATAAAAAAAATTAAAAAAGGCTTTGGCTATACATTCTCCAAAAATTTAATTTCTGTATTTTTTGTTGTTATTGTATGTGTAAAAACAGCTAAAACTGGCTTAGATTTAAAATAAAAAAATGAGAAACGCAGAAAGCAGATATAAATTTTGTAATAGTTAGATTTTTAGGGAATTATCTTGTCATCAGGATCTGTTTCTTTCTTCTCAAAATGTCTTCATATTTTCTATCCAATATTTAGAATTTCTTTTCAAACTCTATATGGTATCAACATTAATATCCTGATTTAAATGATAATTCATGACATATTACCTAGCAGAAAAGAGAATTTCTCTTTCTAGACATAACCCTAATATTTTAAGCACACAAATCATTGCCCTGAATTGGGCATATGATTTGTATGCTTAAAATAGCATTTATTACATATCTTAAAATAATTACTGCAACATTGGTAAACCTATGTAAATTGAATAAGCTCATTTCCCTGGAATTGATAGACACATATATTGCTAAAGCTACTGACTTTATCAACTCTAATCAATTACATGGAGTGAGAGTAGAGATGGTTTCTCAAAGGGTAATCAAGAAATGGTTTTTAAAAAAGTAATTAAATGAGCTTGGATAGACAATTGTCCTATACAGTTCATCCCTTAGCTGACACTGTCTCCTCACCCTATAAAATTCCCACAACCATTTTTTTAAAAGATTTTATTTATTTATCTTTAGAGAGGAAGGGAAGGAGAGAAGGGGAGAAATATCAATGTATGGTTGCCTCTCATGAGTCCCCTGCTGGGAACTGACCTGCAACCCCATGTGCCCTGACTGGGAATTGAACTGCAATCGTGTGGTTTGCAGGCTGCACTCAATCCACTGAGCTATACCAGCCAGGGCCCCACAACCGTTTTAATAACAATCAACAAGATATTAAAAATTTCATGGACCTAGGACAGTATTTCTCAGCTTTGACACTACTGGGATTATGCCCTGATAAATCTTTGCAGTGGTGCCTACCTTGTGCTTTGCAGCTGAATTAGCAGCATTTCTGGTCTCTACCTATTAGATGGCAGTAAAATTCTCCAAATGGTCCCTGCTGCACAGGCGTTTAAATGGTCTCCAGAGAGAACTGACTGAGCATAGAATTGTTTTACCATAGAACTGAATAGGATTATCCTACCGTATTTCAAAAATTTTATGAAGTCATAGTAATCAAAAGCTTAGAGCATCAGTGCAAAGATAAATATAAACATTTATGTAAGACAGTGATACTCCAGAAATATATCTGTGGGGGCAACTTTGCCTGCAAAGTCCCCCCCATCTGCCACAGATGAGAGTGAAACTACCAAGACATGATCTGCTTGGGGAGGAGAGGTGGCCAATCTCTCAGAGGAGAAAAGCCAAGAGTCCCTTCCTCAATGGGGTTGAGGAATACAGGAATACAGGTAAAGCTCATCAATCAATGCAGGTGGCAAGGATCAAACAGTACATAACATTTCAAAGAAATCTGAGGGCTTAGTCTGAGTCAGTATCTGTCAGGTCAGGGGGTTGCAAAAACTTTGGGTATACTCATTTCCTGCTTGGACCCCATATTATCATATGAATGAAAGCATTCTTAGCAAAGCAAACTTCACAGGACTTTAGAAAGTCTTTCTTATGCCAGATCACCTGGATCCTGCTCTAGCCGACAAAGGGCTGCACCACCTTCCCCATCATAGGTTTTTAGGCTTACGTGGATTAGAGCCAGGAAGTGCTTCTCCCAGATGGAAATGGGGACTTGGCTATCTCAGAATAGCTGGGGGGCGAGGGTCCATCACTCCTTCTTTGTTGCAGCCCTCTGAGTCCTTCCTTGATGGCCTCCCAAGTGATCGTATCTGGCTTAGGTTGCCCCCCCAGGGGTCTTACCTGTCACAAACTAACTGACCAAGCGTTGGGGGCAGGGGATGAAGCAGAAGCAGCATTGCTGCCAGAAACAAGCTTTGTCTCCTTAGTGGCTCACAGACCAGAGGTCTCTCATTCAGCCTTAGCCATGGTGGGCAGTTACAACTCCTGAAACCAGGCAGAGTGGTTCCCAACATATATCCTTACATTTTAGAGCAAAACTGATTTCTGGCAAAAGTGCCACAGTAATTCAGTGGAGAAGGGAGAGTCTTTTCAACAAATGTTGAACTGAATTTCTTCATGGTTCACCATCATGGATGGAACTGGAGAGCATTATGCTAAGTGAAATAAGTCAGTCAGCGAAAGGCAAATACCATATGATCTCATTATAAATGGAATTTAATGACCAAAATAAGCTGATGAACAAAATAGAAACAGACACCACTGAAAGAAGCCAGAGGGGCAGGATGAGGGATAATGGTGGAAAGAATGGAAGGAATTGGTCAAAGAACATGTATGAATGACACATAGACATGGACAATGGTATGAGGATTGACTGTGGGAGTCAGGGGTAGGCAGAAAGGGGGAGGGCTAAGGGCAAAAAATTGGGAAAACTGTAATAAAATAACAAAAAAATAAGTAAATAATTTCAATATATTTACTAAAAATCTTAGGATTGCATATTTATGATGGGTGACTTCATATGTAACTTATACCTTAAGAAATATGCTTTTTGAGGCAGAAGTAAAGATTTAACTGATAGAAATTGATTACTCCAGTACTGGGATCAAAGTTAAGAAATTCTTGTTCAACACAGGTCAGAATGGCCATCATAAACAAATCAACAGACAAGCATTGGCAATGTTGTAGAGAAAACGGAACCCTAGTGCACTGTTGGTGGGAATGAAGACTGGTGCAGCCACTATGGAAAACAGTATGGAATTTCCTAAGAAAACTAAAAAATGGAACTGCCTTTCGATCCAGCAATTCCACTGCTGGAAGTATACCTTAAGAATCCTGAGCACTAACTCAAAAGAATCTATGCACCCCTATGTTCATAGCAGCATTACTTACAATAAATAGACAAGTGCTGGAAACAGCCTAAGTGCCCATCAGTAAATGAGTGGATCAAAAAACTGTGGTACATTTACACAATGGAATTCTATGCAGCAGAAAGAAAGAAGGAGCTCTGTTTGAGACAGCATGGATGCAACTAGAGAGCATTATGGTAAGTGAAATAAGCCAGACAGTGAAAGACAAATACCATATGATCTCACTTATATAAGTGGAACCTAATCAACAAAACATATAAGCGAGCAAAATAGAATCAGCAAAATGGAAATAAAGAACAAACTTACAGTGACCAGAGGAGAGGGGAGTGAGTAATAATGGGCAAAAGAAAGGGAAGGGGTTGTCAAGGAACATGTATAAGGGAACCATGGACAAAGATGACAGGAGGGGGAGGATGCAATGTGGGAAGTAGGGGTGGGTAGGGCAGGGGGAAAGTAATGAGGGGAAAATGAAGATAAGCCTAACTAAACAACAATAAAATAAATTAAAATCCTTGCTCAGCTAGCAAGAGAGAATGGCAAAAAGTCAAGCAGAGAACATCTGAAATTTCCTAAGAGTCAGCATACATTTCATAGTTTAAGATAACAGGCATGTAGTTAATTTCATGAAAATTTAAACATTCATAATAAATACCATCCCTTTATCAAGTCTCTCTAGGTTTCCCCCAATCTTTCCCTAGTCAGTGTAAACACAAACACACACATACACAAGCATATTCATCTGTGCTCATCCTTCACCCAGTATTAGTCTATCATTACATCTGCCACTCCTTAAAACAACAAAAAATCAAACACAAAGAGAGAAGTCGGTTGTTTGACTAAGCTCAGTGAGGAAATGCCTTACAAATGCTAGATCACAGATAAGAGAAGCCTATAGACTCTTCTCTCAATTTTTTTCCAGTCCTTTATAAATAATAGCCATGGAATTTCTCTTGCCATTTGTATATTGAATTTCCCAATGACTCTTGAAATGGATGACAGATAAGGGTCTCTGAGGGTTCAGTGGAACTTTTTAATGAGAAAGAAGGTGCAGGGACCCAGAAGGGAAAATAACTTAATCTCTCTGTTTCCTCTGAATCTCATTATATGTGGGAACCCCATCCCAGGTCTTACCTGCAGCATGTCTATAGTTGATTCATGCATATGACGCTGGAGATCTGAGATAAGCTCACTCATATACTGCTTCTGCTGGACCATCTGGTCTTTAGCCACAGTCAAGTTGTCCAGCACATTCACTTCATCTTCCTCCAGCTTTTGCAGCTCCCTCTGCTCCTCTTTGTCCAGGATGCCTCTTATTTCCTCAAACCCTTGCCGAATCCTCTCTCTCTCAGTCTGCATGTGTTTCTTTGGAGGTGAGAAGAGAGAAAGGTTGTCAGTCTTTCATGAGCCTTGGGAGCCAAGACAAGCAATATTTTCTTCAGGCACTTAGGAGGTAAGAAAAAAAGCCATTCCAGGCTTTTCCACATTCCATTTTTCCTACTATTCCATTTTCCTACTATTTTCCCTTGAGCTCCTCCTAGAGTAATTCACCCAAGTCTACTTTCCCAAGGCCCACCAGGGGACACAATGTGCTATGTGGATGTGGCTGGGATTGCAGACACTTGTGTGGACAATTTGCCATACTGTATATGAAACTCCTCCACCCATACCTACAAAACAGGGAATCTTGGGCCTTCCTTAATGAGTTTTCTATAAGTATGAAAGCCTCAAACTTGACAACAGGAAAGGGTCATGGGATTCATGAATAATTTTTACTTGTTTCCCTCTAGGTTTTGCCTCCAAAACAGTAGCTTTACTTGTGACATATCTACTCTGTAGCCCCCAACCCTTAATAGGAGAAGATTAATCAAATGTCTTCTGAACTCATTAATTGTGAGGTACCAAGAGGGAAGGGGCTTCCCTCTTGGAGGTAATTGGACAAAGAGGCTACCAAGTTTCCTGTGTCAGAACTCCCTCAGGAATAATGTCTCCCTACCTTCCAGGTAGCTCTCTCTTCATTGATGTCAACTTCCAATTGCTCAGCTTCCTGCTGCTCCTGTGACAGCTTCTTCAGAGCTTCCTGGAGCTTCTCCTGTGAGAATAAAATCACCAAAGTCAAGCTACGAGCTTTCCCAGAACCCAGATTAAGGATAAATGGAGAAGAAATCAGGAACATCTCAGAAGAGACTTAAGTTTTAGAAATGAAACTGGCAATTAGAACGGAAAATGTAGACAGAAATCTGAGAAGGTGATGCAAGTTCTTTCTCCCTGGGTAATGCGAGTTACCACCCCTCTATCAAGAGTATCTTGTATCTCTTTTCCTGGAGGAAGACCTGATCCTGCAGCAAGTAAAGTCCTTTCCTCTCATGGACACTTTTCTCTCCTCTAAGCAAAGGTTCCTAAAAATCCCATCTGCTCACAGGGGCAATCAGAGCTTATCTAAGGAAGCAACTCTCAGTCATACAACTTCTCTTTGCTAAAATTGTGTAGTCTACACTTATTCTTGAAGAAAATAAAAGAATGCATTGAATGTTCTTCAAGCCTCAGAAGCTAAGCCAAGGGTATAAAAAGAGAATGCAGGGCTAGTTCTATGATGACAAGCAGAATGAATAGGATTAAAAAGTGAAAAGTTCAGGTACCATTCTGTTCAATATTTCCCCACCCTGGGGGCTTACCTGACATTCCTTGACCACCTCCATGATGGGGGACATTTGGTGACCTTGGTGCTCCTGAACACAAAGCCTGCAAATAGCCTTGCCATCGTCCTTACAGAAGATATCATAATTTTCCCCATGGTGCTCACAGAGATCTCTCCTCCTCAGCTGCTGTGAACTCATGTCGACCTCCCTGAATTTCTTCACTCTCTCTGCCAGCTCCCAATTAAACCGGAGGTTCCAAGGCTGGTATCTGCTCTGGCAAACAGGACAGAAGCATTCCAATCCTAAAGAGTCCCCTAATTCAATCTCTGCAGTGATACAGTCTTGGCAGAAGCTGTGGCCACAGTCCAAGCTCATGGGTTCTGTTAGGACCTTCTGGCAGATGGGACAGGTCACCGCATTTATGCTCTCTTGCGATGAAAAATCCATGGCCAATCTCTCCTGGCTTCTTCCTGTCCTGACTCCAGAGGCTCTTCTTGCTCACAAACCCTGTGTGGCTGGTAATACCAAAGGGGGCAGGGTAAGAATGGCAGGAAGAGAAAGAACACTGATGTGCAGAGATTTACAACAGGACAAAACATCAATATTTAGTTAGGAAAGGAAAAGAGAGAGAGAAGAAGGGTAGGTCAGTGACAGAATGAAAAGGGCATTTTGTAATACTTTCAAACATTTTACTCTTGGTTCATGTCACACAACAAATTTCATCTGTTTGAGGCAATGACGGATTGCTATTTTCTCTGTTTCTATGGAATAGAGGGACACATTGAAGCCCTTCCTTCCAAGAGCTTTGTGCCTCCCCATCATGAATCTTCTCTAGTTTGCCCCTCCCCCAAACACATTCAACATGTTAAATACACCAACCTGACTGCAGCCTGTTGGGTTTTTATACTTGCTCTTCTCTGCATGGAATGATCCTTACCTATCACTTGCATGACTTATTTTATTTTAACAATTTCATGGAGTTATATTTACATCCTATGTATTGTTTTAAGAGTATAATAATTTCTAGTAAATTTATAGAATGGTGTAACTATAATGGAATAGTATAACTATTAATGGAATGGTATAATTTCTAGTAAAATTAATGGAATGGTAAATTTGGTATCACCAAATTTTATTTTAGAACATATTTATTTTTTTAAAACAAAGTGAATGCCATTAGCAGTCACCCCTATTCTGACCCCTTCTCAGGCTACCATTAATCTCCCTTGTAATTTTACAAATTTACTTTTACTGGAAAATTCATAACACTGGAACCATATGGTCTTGTGAGTCGGAATTCTTCCACTTGGCATACGTCATTGAGATTCATCTCTCCTGCCATTCTCTCCCATACAAAAAACCTATATAATACTAAAATAAAAAACCCACTGCTGTCTCTGAGATTTTGCACTTATTGTCTCTGCATGGCATGATCTTCTCCCTGATGTCCACATGCCTTCTTCTTATATTTTATTCAGTCTCTGTCCTACATGGTCTCTTATCAGAAGGGCCTGCTCCAGGATATCTACAGCAAAACTGTTAATACTATCACCTGCCATACATTTGCTACATTTTTCTTATTTTACTTTAAAATATATAATATCTTTCTTTAACTGTTTACTTTTTCTTCTTAAAAATGAATTCATGCACAGATTGGGCACCATTCTGTCCACTGATGTGTCCTCCATACCTAGAAGAGTGGATCACATGGGAACACAATGTTTGATGAATATAGAAAACTAGAAGCTCCCCATCTCTCCATGGAAGATTAGAACTTTTTAATCAGCTCTTCACTTTTATACCACAATCAGCAGTTCTCCAATACCTGACAATTGTTTCCTTGCTAACAACACACCTGCCTCCCACAGAGCATCCCCATGCCCTCAAACTCATTCCCCAGAGAAACCTACAGAAACAGCAAAGACCACAATAAAGAGGTCATTTTATTAGTAACAGTTTTATAGCCAGTTGTAATTTAGAAATTACCTTGACCTATTTATTTCGTATATGATATTTTTGATACATGACTACTGCCTTCTTGGATTAAGGATTACACAAAATAGTGACAAAATCAACATGGGAATGTAAAAGTAGAGCATAGGAAATAAGGTCCATACTATGGTAAAAACTATGTATGGTGCCAAGTGGCTACTTGAAATATCAGTGGGGGAGCAATCACTCTGTAAACTATAGGATTGTCTGAACACTATGCTGTAACTCTGAAACTAAAACAGAATTATATTGCAGGCCAACTGTAATTGAAACAAGTAATAAAATATGTTTCAATATAAATTGAAATAAGTAGTAAAATATGAATTTAAAAATAAAAAAGAATATTCTTTAGATATGTAAATAAAATAAAAAACAAAATTCAAGGTCATTTTTAAAAAATAGATAGAGATGTTGGGAAACACACCAGTCTCAACAGTGCCATCCAGTGTTCTCTCCACTACTGCACAGATCAAATAGAGATAGAGGCTGCACCAACTAGATTGATACCCAGTGCTATGGAGGTATAGAAACAGAGAGAACAAAACCATCTGGGTAGTTCTGGGGAGTTTTGTATTTGTAGATTTGGGGCCTATGCCATAGCCAGGACATAAGACAATGTGTCAATAGGCACATAAATGTGTGCGTTTTTAGGGAGGGAGAGGTGTCTTCACATACTCAGAATCACACATACAACAGAGACCTGAGGGACATAAATTCCAACGAGGCATCCGTCAGTCAGGAGAGGGAAGACTCAATATGTAAGGATGCCATGTCCTGGAGAAATAAACTGTGTCCTGTTCCAAGCACATTAAGTGCTATTATGAGTTGAATTGTGTCCTTTGAAAAGATACTGAATTCTAGCCCCCAGAATGTTGGAGTGTAACTTTGTTTGGAAATTGTGTCTTTGCAGGGGATCATGTTAAAATGACATCATTAGGATATGTGTTATTCCAACATGACTGTGTCCTTATAAACAGGGGAAATCTGTGTACAGATAAACACACGTGCGTAGAGAATGCCCTGTGAAGACAAAAGCAGAGATCAGGGTGATTCACTAGGCAAGAAGGAATGCCAGTGAGTGCAAGCCAACTCTCAGGAGTGCAGCCAGCAGAGAGGCCTGGAACTGCTGCTTCCCTCACAGCTCTGAGAGGAACCAGCCCTGCCAGCATCACTGATGCTTTATTTCTAGCCTCCAGAGCTGTGAGAGGAAATTTCGGTTAAGCCTCCTAATTTGTAGTACGTTTTGTATGGCAGCCCTGGAAAACTAATGCACATTTATTTTTCTTATATTCATTTAATGTATCATTGAAGAAGCATTATACCATTGAAACCGTTCTGCTTAAGGCAGACAGACAGAGACAAAATGTATCTTGCTTTTGGAGATGGTCCAATGTGTAGGTTTACCGAGTAAGGTAAGGGCCAACTAGGGTGTTGGTTTTCTTATCTCACTATATCCTAACACTCTGCACAGGGGCTTTCTGTATCTGTGCACTTCAGACAAGAAAAATGAAAGCATTCCCACAATGTGAAAAAGTCCTATGAGGGGTTTAGCCAATATCCTTGAAACCTCTCCTTCACCCTGATTCACAGACTACCTGTGGGAAGGGGAGCCTGTCATTGGCACCCAGAGACCTGAAACCTCAGGAGCATTGCAGCTCCTCCCCATTCTTTTGTATTCATTGTTTTTTCTCCCCATCTACTTCAAGTTCAAACCCTTCCTATGAGGGGTTTAATTTGAACCACTTAATGAACCTCCCTGCAATGCTCTACCTCTCAGGCCATTTTATTTCAAAGAAGTCATTTGGTAACAGGCCATCTTCAGAAAGTGACCCCTAGTCTCAACCCTTTCTCTCACAGTCAGTTCATCACAAAGCCCTACAGTACTCTCTTCAACTTAGGTCCCATCCAACTCAGTCTTTTACCTGGATTTCAGGAATGGTTTCCTACTGGTCTTCCTGATACTGTCCCTGGTCTCACACAGTCTTCTGTCATCACAGATCACCACCAGCCAAAGTGATTTTTTAAAGTACCTATTAACGGTGTCACTCCTTTATTCAGATGTACAGCATCAGTGAGTTGATCTCATCATGGTCTAGTTGGGTCCAATTCCACATCCCCTTCTGCTGCCTCACCCTCTCATCCCACCTTCCCTCCTACCCACACTGGCTGCCTTTCTGTTCCTTAATCAATCAGTATAAAAAAACATCATTTCCTTGAAGACTCCAACCAAAATCACCTTCTCACACTGAGAACTAACCTGAAATTTATTTAAAATGGCAAAGTCCTTAATCAGGGCATAATACAAGCCTTGTCCTGTTATAGCCCATTTACTTTAATATTGTTGTATCTTTGTTTTACACTTATAACATAATCATTTTTCCTTGTTTTATACCTCCTCACTCTGTCCCAAAATATAGTTTCTGTAAGTACATATGTTGTACATTCAATAGAAGTTAACACAGTTTTTTTTACCAGGGTTGTATGCATTTCTGCTTTAGATTTTAATACAAATTTCAAAATGTATAATCACTTTCCCCCATTGGGGTGACCTGCAATAACACATGAGAATTCAATTAATATCCCAGATATAAACCTTGTCCATGTTAGATAAAGACGCATGTTTCTGAGAAGAGAGAGGAAAGGAAACTACACACTATCAAAATACAGGTAACACAGATATCAAGGTATAAGCGTCTCAAAGGCGAAGTTAAGATGGAGTTCTTTCTGAAAAATTACCAACTCCTTCTTTCAGCTACATGCTAGGAAAATGTTAAGAACCAGGTTAAAGTAATAAACAGTGGAAGGGTATGTCTAAGATGATACAGAATGTGTTCTGAAGTAGAAGCGGCCACCAGAGCGTCATGGGGTAAACTGAGGTAAGAGTAAGCAGTGGGACTCAGGAGAGAAGAACCCCCTGAGTTCCACAGCTTACTAGACCCTGAAAAAGACAAGGGACCAGGTGGGAGCCACAGAGATGTGCAGCAACCTGAGTGTGGAGGCCAAAGGGCTGACCATTTATCAGGAAGGATGTGCACAGATTCCCACAAGTTACCAAAACAACAGTAAAAGTATCACAGTCTAGGGCAGAGGCATCAGGTGCCATATATGGTCTAAAGATGGGGGGAAAAAAAGCCCCAGATGCAGGCCAAGAAGATAGACTAGGAAAAGAAGGCATTCAAACAGAAACAAAAAACAGGAGCAGAGGAAACTCAAGTTGCTGAAAGCAAAGGCCATAGGGAAGAGCCACCCAGGACACAGGTGACATAAAGAAATCTGGCCAGAAGTGGGCTGTTTCCTGTGCCTGGAGAAATGGTGATCCTTCATTGCATTCCTGTTAACATCTGGATACCTTGTCACATCTGCTGCCACCTACAGCTAGAATGAATTGCCTTGGAACTCATTGCATATTTATGAATAAACTTTTATTTAAAAATATCAATAACTTAACAAAAGAGTAAAAAGTTCAGCTTCAGCAGGGTCTCATTCATGGCAGGGCCCCTAAAATCCTTCCCCCCATGTGCACCGGGGTAAAAGATGTTACATCTCCGGGTCCTCACAGAAGCCTGGCCTATATGAAGATGGATACCAGGGCCCCACCTCACAGGCTTCAGTGGAGAAAGGTAGGAAGGGGTTATCTGCCTGGGAAAAAACAAAGGGTAGGAGTAATCTGGCTCACTTTGGCAAGGTAGAATGTCAAAACTACAGAGTAAGAGGAAAATAAGGGTAAGTCAACCTGAAGAAATAATGGTACCTCCAAGAAACAAACAAGACTCTGTTCTTTTAAACCTCCCTTCTTTGAAGGTCACTCTTTCCCCAGATTCAATGTTCCTCTTTTCTGCCATCTCAGCAGAGACAGCCACAGGCAGAGCAGCTTCAGAACCACAATTTAAGTCACCAAACACATTCAATCTGTTCCCTCAAAGCTTCCTGTCCTTTGCCCTCAGAAACTGCCCCACTTACCTTCAGGAGAAGTACAGCAGTCCTGAACTAGTGGAGGAGAATCGCCGTAGGCCTGCTCAGCATTTACTCACCAAGCCAGAGACCAGCCCTCCACAGAGCAGCTCCCCACAGGAAAAGGGTGAAAAGTGAAACTTAAATGCTTAGGAGTGGAAATAAACAAAGGAAGCAGAAGAGAAACTTAACAACAATGCCACCTAGTGGGACGCTTGGGGAAGTTAATGCCTCAGTAGTTCTAGGACCTACCCCAGCACAGCTCGGAGTCACTGGTTTTCTCCCTTCTGCAAGAATATTTGAATAGGGAGAATTTGAATTCCAATGATATAGTCTTCAGCTTGACTGAATTCTCAGAATTTCAGTTCAATTCTATAACTATCAGTTAAGCTTCTCTGTATTCAGGTCCTGAACAATTTACTAGGGATTAAATCACCATGCAGAAAGTCTGGGTCCCTGCCCTTTGTAATGCAGAGTGTGATGGGGAAGATAATCAGGGAAAGAAGTCTGTTAATTTGAGCTCAGTGGTGGCAGCTGTCTTTGTGAGTGGTAAAAATAAAATTTAGATAAGGTTCTTCACTGTGAGCCTACTGAGAAAATTTTCCCTCAAAAGCATTGAATCTTAGGGCTCCACCAGTCAATCACCAGCTCTTCCTCTGGCCAAGGCAGGCCAGATGAGGAAGCCTTGTGGACATAATGTTGGCACAACTGTGTCAGTGACAAGTTACCACCAACCAGGAGGTAAGCAGATGGTGCTGTTCGAGTGTAGCCTTTCTCTGGGTAGCACTCATGCCTCCATAATCAGGTACTTTCCCTACTTTCTGTGGGAAAACCTTCATCCTTTTTACAGCATGAGTCAAAAGCAGAACTGGAATAAATTAAAAAAGAAAAAAGAATAAATTTAAAAGGGTCAACTAATGCACGCTATAGTGTAACAATAAAATAAGTATATGTATTTTTTTTAAAAAGCAGAGCTGAAACATTTCTATTTCCCACACATGCTTTCATGTCCTGTTATCTGTCTTGTTCTTCTGAGAACATGTTTCAGATGGTACAGCTACCAGATGGGGAAGCTCCAGACAAGGGTCCCTGACTGACTGCATTTCACAGCTCGGCCACCTTCATACATTAACTAATATGAGACATGCATGGCATCTGAATCATAGATATTGTTTTTAATTAAGTTACAGATATTTTGATATTCACGTACCTCTGTGAGGCAGGAAATAGAATTAATATAGGCAAACTTGCTTAGCCATTTTGACAGTTTTAGTTTCAAAGGTATGAAAGAAGTTACTTCTAACAAATAAACTCGATGCTTTGCAGGTGCAATGACAATCATGAATTTTTCAGTAACTGCATTCCAAAAGCTGGCCCTTCTTCATCATCTTCATCATCGCATGATATTTTCACTGTGTATTCCTCTTCATTCAGTCCTGCACCCCAAAACATTAAGGTTTATAAAGGTAGAAAGGAACCCATAGAAATTCTTATTGTGTCAAATTTATTATAAAACATTGCATATGGGGAAAATTAGAACAGGAAAAAATTAGAGATTAATTTCCCCCAATTTCCACGATGAGCACAAAGGTATAAACATGTGCCTACACACAGAGATACTGGAAATTTCCTGACTGGAATCCTTTGTCTCAATTAAAGCTCATTCAAAGTGAGGAAATGGGGAATTCCTGGAGACAACAGGACTGAGAGAAAATAGTACTTGACAAAAAGCACTTTTTTTTCTTATCTCTGAAGTTGACTGGGAAAGAGTTGGAAATAAAATACAAAAAGACATTGGGAACCCATCAAGTTCTGAATAAACACACTCCCTTCCTATCTCTGGAAGGAGGAAAGTCTTCTCTCCCTTTGTTCTTGAGAACCTTCCACTCAATGCAAATGTAGGGCTGACCTGGACAACAAAACACTTCCTTGCACCATGATAAAAAAGATCCCACAATTGTACTTATGACTCCTGGTATCAATGTGAGTAATAAGTTTTTAAAGCTGAGCAAACAGCAAATACATAAGTTCAATTTCAGTGAAATAGAATTACTCCAGAAAAAAATGGAGGAAAAGAGACTAGATAGCTAGAAATGGTAGAAACATTTACTTTACAATTAGCTAAAATCTAATGAAAATTATAATTCTTTCATCATTTTATTTCTTAAAACAAAGCAAGGGTGACAATGTTGAAAACAAACTATGTATTCTTAAAATGATTTATTTCAGTCACAGTGGGATGCAAACAAAAATAAATGGACAGCATACTTTTTTAATCTTTTTATTTTATTTTATTTTTTATTTTTATTTTGGTTAGAGCACCTTCTTTTTTAAAAATATATTTTATTAATTATGCCATTACAGTTGTCCCATTTCCCCCCTTAATTCCTCTGCACCCAGCATACCCCCTGCCCCCATATTACCCCCTTTAGTTCATGTCCATGTGTCACAGTTCTTTAGCTTCTATTTCCCACACTACTCTTGCCCTCCCCCTATCTATTTTCGACCTACCGTCTATGCTACTTATTCTCTGTACCTTCTCCCCCCTTCTTCTCCTCCCACTCCCCTGTTGCTAACCCTCCATGTGATCTTCATTTCTATGGTTCCACTCCTGAACTAGCTGTCCACTTAGATTGCTTTTGTTTTAGGTACAGTTGTTAATAACTGTGAGTTTCCTGTCCTTTCATTGTTCATATACTTTATCTTCTTTTTTTTTAAGTTTTTTATTTATTCATCTTCAGAGGGGAAGGGAAGGAGAGAAGGAGAAAAATATCAATGTATGGTTGCCTCTTGTGCATGCCCCACTGGGAACTGGCCTGAAACCCAGGCATGTGCCCCTACTGGGAATCGAACCGCGATACTCTGGTTCACAGGCCCCATGTATCTTCTTTTTCTTAGATAAGTCCCTTTAACATTTCATATAATAAGGGCTTGGTGATGATGAACTCTTTGAACTTGACCTTATCTGAGAAGCACTTTATCTGCCCTTCCATTCTAAATGAAAGTTTTGCTGGATAGAGCAATCTTGGATGTAGGTCTTTGGATTTCATGACTTGGAATACTTCTTTCCAGCCCCTTCTTGCCTGTAAGGTCTCTTTTGAGAAATCAGCTGACAGTCTGATGGGAGCTCCTTTGTAGCTGACTGTTCCCTTATATCTTGCTGCTTCTAGGATTCTCTCCTTTATTTGAATCTTGGCTAATATAATGATGATGTGCCTTGGTGTGTTCCTTCTTGGGTCCAACTTTTTTGGGACTCTCTGAGTTTCCTGGACTTCCTGGAAGTCTATTTCCTTTGCCAGATTGGGGAAGTTCTCCTTTATTATTTGTTCAAATAAGTGTTCCACTTGCTCTTTCTCTTCCCTTTCTGGTACTCCTATAATTCAGATGTTGGAGTGTTTAAAGATGTTCTGGAGGTTCCTAAGCCTCTCCTCATTTTTTTGAATTCTTGTTTCTTCATATTTTCCTGTTTGGTCATTTTTTCCTTCTTTCTGGTCCACTCCCTTGATTTGAGTCCCAGTTTTCTTTCCATCACTATTGGTTTCCTGTGCATTTTGCTTCATTTCACTTAGTGCAGCCTTCATTTTTTCATCTAATTTGTGACAAAATCCACCAGTTCTGTGAGCATCCTGATCACTAGTGTTTGGAACTGTGCATCTGATAGGTTGGCTATTTCTTGGTTGCTTAGAAGTATTGGCTCTGGGACTTTGAGCTGTTCTGCTTGAGCCATAATGTTTTGGTCTATTCTCGCCTGTTACATACAAGGGGCGGAAGCTTAGATGTTCACCAGGGCGGGTCTACCCAGTTGCTGGGTTGTGACTGGGGGCAGGGTCAAAGAGGGAGAAATGGTGTTTGTTCTGCTTTCTCTCAGATTTTGGTCCCTCTGCCTCTTCCCACAAGAAATTGAGCCCCTCCGGTACTGGTTTTTGGGTGGGTGGGCTTGTGTACATTCTAGGACCCTGTCGGTTTCTTCAACGAACTCTCCTGTGAGACTGGGCACCTCTCCTGGCACCTCAATCCCCGAAAGTTTTTCCAGTGGGTGATTTTCAGCTTATTTCCTGTTGCTGGGGCCCTGGGTTGTGCGGTCTGTCTCACTGACTGTTTTTAAACCTTCCTGGTTTATCTGCACATGCATGTGTGTCCGCAGTCAGCCAGCTGCCTTGCACACCTTACTGGGTTTGCTTGTTTTCTCCCTGCACCCATGTCTGCCAACCACTGCCTCTTCCTCCCGGGACCCCTCTTCTCAGGCCTCCGACTCCACCCCTCTTACCCATCTGGATGAATGACTCATTGTTGTCGGACTTCAGTACAGTTCAATTTTCTGCCTGTTTTGGTTGTGTTTTTATTTCTAAATCTTTGTTTTCCTTAAATTTGGTTGTGCAAGGAGGTACAGTATTTCCACTCATGCCTCCATCTTGGCCAGAAGTCCTTCCAATGGACAGCATACTTGATTACTCCATTTGTGCTAAAAAATGACAGAAGTCATTGAAAATATTCTGTTGTTTAATTTACACAGTAGTACAAGGTAAATTTTATTAACTTTTTTTTACAAATGAAAAACTGAATTCCACAGAATTTAGATTATTTTACTAAGGTTTATATGTAGCAAACCACAATTATAATAAAATTCTCACTGTCACACACACACTCATGTGTCACAGGCAGAGCTATAGGAGCCCTGATGACAGCACAGAGGCATCTCGCATCTGAAACACCAGACTTCAGTTAAAACCACCATAGTGCCCCAGAAGGCACAAATCTGTTTCATGAGACACTGACACAGCTTATATTTTTCAGTAATTAGAAGAGAAAATGTTTATTACATTGAGATGCTTACAGGTTTTATACTTCATGACACTTTTCTTCTCACAATGATCCTAACTATGGTGTGTGTTTTTTTTTTAATACCAGGACTATTTTTAAGTAAATGAAGCAAACATTTAAGTATCTTATTCAAGGTTATACTGCACCTGTTTGGAGAGACTTGGACTTGTACTCAGACAGTCTGAACAGAAAACTTCCATTTAGCACATACTATTTATGACATTTTTCTTCAGTCCTTAATGAATGAGGAGCATAATGAGTAAACTGACATATTCCTGAAGACTCATTCTAAAGTGAATGATTCCTATACAAA